CTCAGACCCTGCAGTCCGGGGGTGCGCGTGCGCGCGCCGGGGCGCTGACCCCGGGCGGGAGGAGCCACCGCGCCGCGCTTGGAGCCGCCGCTCCGTCTCGCTGCTCCGTCTCACACTGAAATTGCCCGCTTCGCAGCCTGGCTTCCCCGGTTGCTAGGCAGATTTCGCCTAGCACACTTCCGGGTTGAGGCGCGTCTCGGCGAGTGGCGGCGGCGCAGGCCAATGGGGTCTGGCCGGAGCTCCCGGGATCCGCGCCCCACAGAGGGCGTGGCCAGCCTCACGACGGACAGTGCCCGGCGGCCAATGAGCGCGCGGGCCGGCGGGCCCTCGGGATCGCGCCGGCGGCCTGGGCGGGCCCGAGGAGGCGGGACGGGGTGACTGACAGACGACCTACCAATAGGAGAGTGGAGTGGGTCTCAGGTCCAGTCAGGGTCCTGAGGAAGCGGGGCTTAGGCTTCGGGGCGGGAACGCCACGAGGGGCGGGGCCTGGGGGACGCGTCAATCCTTGGCCCGCTCGCTGGGACCCCGGAGGGCCGTTCGGTTGGGCCGCTCGGCGGCCGACAACTGGCTGGGCTGGGGGTTCCCCGCAGTGCTCAGCAGGGGCGCCCCACCCACAATGCACCGGAGGCGGTCTGGGCCAGGCTGGCGTGGGACGGTTAAGCCGGGCGGTGGGCGGTGCCGCGTGAGGAGCGCTCTGAGGAGACGCGGAGAGCTATGGTTCGGCTTCCTTCCCGGGCGGATTCGTTGCCGGAGCGCTCTTTTCCGCCTGAAGTTGTGGGTTCGACCCTCTTCTGAGGAGACTCTTGAGGATTCTTGCCCTTGGTCCCCGTTCTGAGGAGAATCTTCGGGATTCTTTTCCTGGTGCCTGTTCTGAGGAGAATGTTCAGGAATCTTGCCCTTGGCCCCTCTTCTGAAAAGAATCGTGGAGGTTCTTACCCTGGCCTCTTTTCTGAAAAGAGTTTTGGCGATTCTTGCCCTGCCTCCTTTTCTGAGGAGAATTACCAGTAAAAGGATGATTTTGTAGATTCGGAACCCCAGCTCTCCTTTCTAAGAAAACTTGTGGGGGCTCGGGCCCCTGCCCCCGTTGCTAAGGAGTATTTGGGGCATTCAGGACCCACTACCTTTCCCGAAGAGTATTTGGGGAACATACCCTGCCTTTTTTTCAGCACTGTTGGGAGCCACTGGCCGTCTCCCTCCGTTTTCTGAAGAGCAGTGGGGGCTCTGTGCCCCTGGCCTTCATTTCTGAAGATAACTTGGGAAATTCCTACCTTGTATGTCCCTCCCCCCACCAGAGGAGACATTTGGAACTTCATGCACCACCCCCGTTTCTCCAGAGAAGAACTGAAGGAGGTTGTTGCTCCCTCAGCCCTTTCACTAAAGGAATGCCAGGGAGTTGTGCTCCCTGCGCTTTTTCTAAGCAGCATCTGAGTGTTGCAGAAAGCGTTCCTCTTTTCCTAAGAACTGCGACCGTTTGACTCCTTTGCCCCAGAAAATTGTGAGAAGTGTATACTTCCTTTTTGGAAAAGCTACACATTAAGCCCTCCTTCCCCTTTTTTTGAGGAGAATTTTTCTGAGCAACTGTCCACTCTTTCCCAAGAGTCAAACCTGTGACCATTCCTGATTCTGTCCCCTGTCAGGCTCTTCAGCCCATTTCCTTCTCTGCTGAGTGGGGCCCTTCCAAGAATTCCTGCTTCCCACCTACCCCCAGAAGAAAGTAATCAGTCTTCCAAACTCTGCTGTAGCACACTCAGTGGCCTACCAGGTGCCCTCACTTCTGTCTTCCCCTAATTGGTCTGAACTCCTCCCCTGATTTACCCCCAAAGAACCCAGTTTTGCCCTTAGTAGGCAACCAAATGTCCATTGTATCAAAGGAGTGAAGAAGGCAGTAATGAGAAAGACCCACAACACTGTGAGGATTCAGTATTGCAAACTTTTGTTGCCACCACTTTGTGCACAGAAGGGTACAAGGTACTGAGATACCTGAATTATAGAATGGAACTTGTAAGCCAAAATGAAGGCAATAAAGAGAAATAGGCCTATTGGCAGAGGCAAGCAGAATATTATACTAAAGAGATACCAAGAAAATGTAGGAATGTAGAGGAGGAAGTGATTAAATGAGATAATGAATATGAAAATACTTTGTAAACCATGAAGCAGTGTACCCATGTGGAAAGGATTATTGTTAATGTTACAAGTGGGCTGACATTCCTGGAAGAAAAGTAAAGACTAAATTCTGAGAGTCAGAGTGATGGGAGGTTGATAGGGAACCCTGTAGGGCCTGACTCCCTGAGTGAGCTCAGCCTGTACCCAAGTGGCAAGGCTGACAGAGTCCTTGGCTAGAGAAGGAAGCCACTGGAAACAAGAAGACAATGTGTTCCCAGAGCTCCTTTGCACCTCTGTTGTTGCATTTACCTCATTCTGCAAGTGTCTGAGGCAGTCTGGTTGGAGAATAAACACTTGGACTTTGGTGGCTGGCAGAACTAGGGTTGAACCTGTGCCTGCCACTCCCTAGCTAGGCCAGTTACTTTCCTTAACCATATCAGAAATGAGAACACCAGTCTCTAATGGTTGCACTGAGGATTGTGAGCTCAAAGTACCTTGCACTGTGCCTGGTGCACAGTAGGGACTCAGGAGCTTTTCATTTTGTTCCAGTCGCTAACCAGGATGCTTTCTGCGAGCGGGAATCCAGCCTTATTCATTTAAGTAATCCCTCAGTGCTTTTTTAGTTGCTAGACTGAACTGGGATCAAAGAGCAGCTCATTGTCCAACCCCTTCATTTTGTACATGAGAGGACCAAGAGGGCAACTGACTTGTTCTTATCCCACCGCTACTTTAGTGGCTGGATCCTAAGCTTGCACTGCCTTAATCTCGCTTTGGGCGTATGTGCAAGAAAGGAGAGAAGAAGGGAGACCTGTTCCCTTTAGTCCTTGTACAAAGCAGAGCCTTGTTAAGAACCTAAAACTCTGCAAGCTGTGGCAAGGTTCTGGATGCGAGACTAATAGAGTCCCCAAACTCAAGAGCAATGGCAACTGGGGGGCCCTGACCAGGATCAAGGCCACCTAAATTAACTTTGTCAAAGGGAGATTGCAAATAAAGTGAGGTTATTTCAGGGCTACCCTATGTAGTTTCCAGACTGATCCCTGGAACTATCAGGACCTATAATTATATCTCACCTTTCTATTTTAGGAATGCACAGAATTTCTTTTTTTTTTTAAATTTTATTTATTTATTTATTTTCCCCCAAAGCCCCAGTAGATAGTTGTATGTCATAGCTGCACATCCTTCTAGTTGCTGTACGTGGGACATGGCCTCAGCATGGCTGGAGAAGTGGTGCGCCAGTGCGTGCCTGGGATCTGAACCCGGGCTGACAGCAGCAGAGTGCGTGCACCCAACCGCTAAGCCAGCCGGCTGGCCCAGGAATGCACAGAATTTCTTTCATTCTCTGGAAAAAGGCATTGCCTGGAGGCAGAGATGGTGGATTAAACGATGTCCGTGAAGTCTGGAATCCTAAGCGTAAACAGGGGTCCCATTGGCTGGAAAATTGCATCCTAGAAGAATCCAAGGCGAATAGGCATTCATCAAAGGGAGTGAAATGCCCCACCAAAATAGATGACAATGACCACAGCTTCTGACATAAAAAACAAAAAGAAAGGCACATAACCCATACCAAGGATGAACTTTCCTTTCCACAGTGGTAGCAGCGATTGCATCTCTCTGTGTCAAGGTGTGTCCCTTCCTGGGTCTGGGAAATCATGTGGGCAAACTGGCTAAGTGACATTCACATCCAAATAGGGAAACGGGAACTGAGCCAGGTGACTGCACAGGCAGCCAGGAAGTCAGGGCCTCAGTGGTAGTTAGAAAAATGAGGGCTGATGGGTGCAGAGACCTCCTGTTGGTGTTGTGGCCTTGGACAAGGAAGAGTGCTCACTGACAATGAAGAATGACACCTGGTTAATAGCAGTGGGAAGGGTATGAAGCGCAAAGTTTAAAGCCCTCCACTGTCACTGGATGACAGTGAAAGTCAGGTGCACACAGCCAAGTGCCCCTCCATCATTGCCTCCTAAGATTGTGGGACTGCATAATTCATTTGGGTTTGCCAAGAACTTTGAGGTTCACATATGTGAATTGCTAATTTACTGAAACCTGCATCCTTTGGCAGGTCCATTGGAATTGGCCTTGGTTCTCCCAGGGAAGGTGGTAAAAAGTCAGTGTTTGTTTCCAGAGAGAAATAAACACCACCAAATCAAGAGGGTGGCCTAAGTAGTCCTCCTGCTTCCCCAAGAGAAGGTCAGGTAGCACTTGAATTATCCAGGGGTGGGGAGAAGAGTGTAGCTTTCTTGGTGTTGGTTGGCTAGAAAATCTGGAATCAAGTCCAAAGGGAGCTCATGAGTCCTTTCAGCCAGGCTATTTTAAATCTCTAGGTCAAAAACGTGGACTCCAGTAGCAAATCTTACCTGGTTCTTATTGACATAAGAATTAGTGGGATTACTGATAACTCTTTTCTGAGACAAAAAGTGTTGTCTACACCTACATGCCTATGGCGTAGAAAACCTCTAAGTCAAAATGATGACTTCACCAACCAGGAAGGAAAGCATTTCTGAACAGAAGGGAGTTCATCTTAGACATGTATGGCCACTTTGTGTGCAGAAGGGAGGAGCCAACCACAGTGCCAGACAGGAGAGAGACGCCTTACTCCTGCCTGTGGAGAATTCACCTTGAAGTTCTGTTGGATCTGAAGGCCTTTGGCATCCCAGACACGTACTTACATTGGAGCCTAAAACCCAGGTCAGGCTTTCAACCTACTGCGTTTCAGATCCCTCCATTGACCATTCTCTGCCTTGAGACAATAGCCCTATGCCCTAGGACTGAAGTGACTGCCTCTCTGCCT